CAGGAAAAAACAAATTAAAACAAATATATGTGTGTATATATATATATATATATTTGAGACGGAGTCTCACTCTATCTCCCAGGCTGGAGTGCAATGGCACAATCTCAGCTCACTGCAAGCTCTGCCTCCCAGGTTCACGCCATTCTCCCGCCTTAGCCTCCCAAGTAGCTGGGACTACAGGTGCCCGCCACCGCGCCCGGCTAATTTTTTGTATTTTTAGTAGAGACGAGGTTTCACCGTGTTAGCCAGGATGGTCTCGATCTCCTGACCTCGTGATCTACCCATCTTGGCCTCCCAAAGTGCTGGGATTACAGGCATAAAAATATTTTTTAAAAAAGGCCAGGTGTGGCGACTCACACTTGTAATCCCAGCACTTTGGGAGGCTGAGGCAGAAGGATGGCTTGAGCCTATGAGTTCAAGACCAGCCTGGGCAACATGGTGAGACATCGTCTCCACAAAAAAATACAAAAAAAATTAGCCAGACTTGGTGGTGCATGCCTGTAGGCCCAGCTACTCTGGAGGGTGAGATAGGAGAATTGCTTGAACCTGGGAAGTTGATGCTGCAGTGAGCTGTGATCGTGCCACTGTGTTTCAGCCTGGGCAACAGAGTGAGACCTTGTCTCAAAAAAAAATAAATACATAAATGAAAGAAAAAAAGAAAAAGGCCAGGTGTGGTGGCTCACGCCTGTAATCCCAGCACTTTCAGAGGCCAAGTCAGGAGGATAACTTGAGTTGAGGAGTTTGAGACCAGCCTTGGCAACATATTGAGATCCTCTCACTCTAAAAAATAAAAAATTTAAAAAAAAAAAAGGAAAAGAAGAAACAAAAACGATAAAAAACCAAAAAGATGGCTGCGTCATTTGTCTACCTATGCTGTGGGCACTCTGCTTAAGAGATGTTGGGAGGCTCCAGATTTTCCCTTGTGTAAGAGACTCTGAAAATTATATCCCTGCTCATATATGTTTCTGGGGATTTCTGACCCTTGTGTTAGCCTAAATCCTGAAAGCAAAATTGCTGGGACAAAGGCCGTACACATGTTTTTTTTTGAGACAGAGTTTCGTTCTTGTTGCCCAGGCCAGAATGCAGCGGTGCGATCTCGGCTCACTGCAACCTCCGCCTCCTGGGTTCAAGCGATTCTCCTGCCTCAGCCTCCCATGTAGCTGGGATTACAGGCATGTGCCACCATACCCGGCTAATTTTGTATTTTTAGTAGAGATAGGGTTTCTCCACGTTGGTCAGTCTGGTCTTGAACTCCCGATCTCAGGTGATCCGCCCACTTTGGCCTCTCAAAGTGCTGGGATTACAGGCGTGAGCCACCACGCCGGGCCTGGCCATACACATTTTAAGGGCAAATCATCTCCAAAAAGACTATATCAGTTTACACTCACAAGAAGTGTCCAAGAGCTGTCTTTTTTTTTTTTTAAGGGCTTTATTTCTTTCCTTTTTTTTTGAGATGGAGCCTCGCTCTGTTACCCAGGCTGGAATGCAGTGGTGCGATCTCTGCTCACTGCAAGCTCCATCGCTCCATCTCCCAGGTTCACACCATTCTCCTGCCTCAGCCTCCCAGGGACTACAGGCGCCCGCCACCACGCCCGGTTAATTTTTTGTATTTTTAGTAGAGACGGGGTTTCACCTCGTTAGCCAGGATGGTCTCAATCTCCTGACCTCATGATCCACCCGCCTCAGCCTCCTAAAGTGCTTTATTTCTTAATATACTTTAATGCCTTTTTCACTTTCCCCAAATTATAAACTGCAGGCTAATGACACCACCTAGAACTAAGGACACTTACTCAACACAATCTGCTGATAGACGTTATAGTCACTTGCTCTAATTTCTTCTCACTTCTTAGGAAACAGCATAAAAATAATGAGAAGAATAGGCTGGGATTCTTTTCAGAAGATTAGAAATGAATCCCAGGCAACGTGCATGAATAATAAAAAGCCTCCCAAGCTTAAGGACTCTGATAATTGGGAATGATATACTCCGTTATCTTTTTGAAGTCCCATACAACACAGAGATCCTACAATTCGAAAACGTTTTAAAGACAGAAATTTTAATTTTGGTAAGAGCCATCTTTTTCTGCACATTCTCTCTCAACAAAGGTTATAAATCTGTTTGGTCTGCAGTTGGTTAAGGATAAAAGTGGAGGGGGCAGAATTTTGCTTTGTTACTTACATTTATTTTATTTTTCATTTTCTTACAGACAGGGTCTTGCTGTGTTGCCCAGGCTGGAGTGCAGTGGCATGATCATAGCTCACTGCAGCCTCAATCTCCTGGGCTCAAGCGATCCCTCCCACCTCCAACTCCCCACATGCTAGGATTACAGGCATGCACCACCATGCCTGGGCAGGGTTTTGCCTTGAAGATCAGAATTCATCCTCATGCGATTGGCACAGGCTACAAATATAGAACCTCAAAAAAGAGGGTTTTTTTTTGTTTTTTTTGAGACAGGGTCTTACTCTGTTATCCAATCTGGAGGGCAGTGGTGGGATCTCGGCTTACTGCAACCTCTGCCTTCCCGATTCAAGCAACTCTCATGCCTCAGCCTCCCAAGTAGCTGGATTACAGGTGTGCACCACCATGCCCAGCTGATTTTTTGTATTTTAAGTAGAGACGGGGCTTCACTGTGTTGGCCAGGCTGGTCTCGAACTCCTGGCCTCAAGTGATCTGCCTGCCTTGGCCTCCCACAGTGCTGGGATTATAGGCATGAGCCCTGCCTCAAAAAGAATTTAACTCCCCTCTTCTCACCCCTGCACTTGATGAGTCTTAAAAAAAAAAAAAAGAGTTTGAATCATTAATAGACACCAGCTCCAGCCTGTGCCATGGAAACCTTCCCTTGGCTCCCCGAGGACAGAGGCAGACATTTAAGGGGGCAAACCCTGACCTCTTATGGTTGATATAATGGAAGTAAGCCATGCTGACACCATATGTGTCTCCTGCCGAGAAGCACAAGGTGCTATAGTGGGGGCATTTACTACTCATCCATTCGTTTATACAAGACATGTTTACAGAGGGCTTACTATGTGCCTGGTACTCGGTGCTGGAGCCAGACAGATCTGAGGAAACTTCCCTTATCTGCACAATGGGGACAACATTACCTGCCTTGCAATGAGAAAACATATGTAAAGCCCTCAAAAAATTAACTGGAGCTATTCTTCTTACTTTTTGTTTTTAGATGGAGTCTCTCTGCCGCCCAGGCTGGAGTGCAGTGGTGCAATCTCGGCTCACTGCAAGCTCCGCCTCCCAGGTTCAAGCGATTCTTCTGCCTCAGCCTCCCGAGTAGTGGGATGACAGGTGCCCACCACCACGCCCAGCTAATTTTTGTATTTTAGTAGAGACAGGGTTTCACGGTGTTAGCCAGGATGGTCTCCATCTCCTGACCTTGTGATCTGCCTGCCTCAGCCTCCCAAAGTGCTGAGATTACAGGCATGAGCCACCGCGCCCAGCCTTCAAATTCTTAACATTTTTTGAAGAAGGGGCCCTGCATTTTCATGTTGCACTGGGCCCTGCAAATTGTGTAGCTGGTTCTGGGCTCACGGTAAAATCATAGCAAGGGAGGAACAGCTCTGCAGACCCCTCTCCTTCCACATCCAAACCGTCAGCACATCCTGTTGGCTCTTCCTCCACACACATCCTCACTCCCCGCACTGTTCTTCCTCTTCCCTGGACCAAGCTACCACCTCTTTCTTCTAAAGAGGCTGTGTAGCGTCTTCCCTGGCGTCTCTGCCTCCACTCTGGTCCGTGGGAATCCTCCAGTGGGCACCCAAGGTGAGCTTTCAAAACTGCAAATTGGATCATGTCTCTTCCCTGCTTACCCCGCTGCCAGAGGCCTCCACTCCACTCAGTACAAAACCCCAGGGTAGTCTTGCCCCTGCCTCCGCCTCCTGTGTTCCAGCCACACAGGCTCCCTTGGTAGTCCTCGGACGCTGCATGCTCTCATTTCTCCTCTGCATTCGCTCTTCCTTGCTCCAGGCACTTAGTCACTCCAGCCTGACTCTCTCCCATGATAAGGTCTTGGCTCAGGGAGGACTTCCCCATTGCCCATCTCACATCCTCATCCCTGTCTGTTCTATTGCCCTGATTTGTTGCTTTTACAGAACCAACTGCTATCAGAGTTATCTTTTTCCTTTATTTATTTACTTATTTCCCGTCTGCCTTCTCTTCTTCTTATCTGTCTCCTGCACGTGTACAGAGCAGTACCCAGCACATAGTAGGTGCTCAACGAATCATCTCCTTTGATTGAGCACAAGTGTTCCTGAGGCTCACAGAGGTTAAACACCTTAAGGTCATGCTGTGGAGCCAGGGTTTGAACTCATGTCTCCCAGAGCCCACAGCCTCAACCATCATACTGTCCTGCTTCCTACATGGATCTATGGGGTCAACCACTGCCTTTGTGGGGAGGGCGCAATCTGTCAACAGGGCTGTCCTGTTGTCTGTGCTTCTTCCTTCTCCCCTACCTTCCACCAGACCCTAAGTCAGTCAGGAGACCAGCTTTCCTTTACCAAGCCCAGCGACTGGAGGCTTGCTGATAGATGGACCACTTGCCATGGGGGAGAGTCCTGAGGCTGAGTTCAAGTCCTGCCACTACCAGTACCTGACTGGGCAGTCTTGTGCAGAGCCCCTTTCTGAATCTGTTTCCTCATCTGTTGAATGAAAGGACTGGACTGTAGGGGTCAGCACACTTTCTGTAAAGGGCCAGTTTGTCCCTATTTTAGGTTTCATGGGCTGCACAATCTCTATCACACTGCTCAGTGCTGCCATTGGTGCTCAAAAGCAGGCACAGACAATCATAAATGAATGAACATTCTTCTGTTCCAATAAAACTTTATTTACAAAAACAAGTGACGGGCCAGGTTTGGCCCCCAGGATATAGTTTGCTGACTTCTTGGACCAGACTATCTCTAAGGAAACTTCTGGATCAGAGAGTCTGTAATTTTTCATGCAAGTGAAAGCTTCTTACAGCCAAGTTGGAGAAAGGGCTTGTCTAGCCCACACTTACCTGCTCAAGTAGAAGGCAAAGAGGTTCTGAGAAAGGAGGCCTTGGTTCCACAGGTTGTCAAAGACGGGTGGCTCTTCAATGCCAAGGCTGGGGTAGCTCAGTCCCAGGATGCCATCGAAGACCGTGTATTTCATGAACTTGTCAGGCTCCTTGACACTCAGGCCGAACCCCTGGCCTATGTCCACAAGGTCCCCGATCTGTGGGAGGAGGGTGTTTCCGTGGAAAGATTTGGGAAGTGGGGCTGGGGCTGGGGCTGGGCTGAGGTGCAGGTGGCTGAGGAAATAGCACTAACTCTATGGGGAAGCCTAGGGCCACTGTGCCGTGGGCGGCACCTAAGCGAATGTGGGTCCCTGTGGGCTATCATTCTAACTAACTCCAACGCCTCCTTCACATCGTCCGAACTTAGCCACAGAGGCCACATTCCCTTTTTACAGTTGAGACTCCACGTGTGACCACATGGTTCCCACTTGAGGACAAATGGGTAGAGAGCAGGATTGTCCCCTTTTTGGTGTCACTATGATCTGATGACAGAAACAGAGAATTCATTTCGGACTCCAAAGGGGGTCTTTTCTCACCCCCTGGGGGAAACAGTAGCCCGTTACACCATGTAGCCGCTAGGGTTCTTACGAAAATTCTGCCTGGGAAATGCTCCTTTAGATGTGTGTGTGGATGCATGTGTGTGTGTATGTGTGTGTGTATGTGTATGTGTGTGTATGTATGTGTATGTGTATATGTGTGTGTGTATGTGTGTGTATGTATATATGTGTGTATGTGTGTGTATGTGTGTGCATGCGTGTATGTATGTGTGTATGTGTGTGCATGTGTGTATATGTGTGTGTGTGCGTGTGTGTATATGTGTGTGTGCGTGTGTGTGTGCATGTGTATGTGTGTGTATGTGTGTGTATGTGTGCGCATGTGTGTATATGTGTGTGTGCGTGTGTGTGTATGTGTGTGTATGTGTGTGTGCGTGTGTGTGTGCATGTGTATGTGTGTGTATGTGTGTGCATGTGTGTGCATGTGTGTGTATGTATGTGTGTATATGTGTGTATATGTGTGTATATGTGTGTGTACGTGTGTGTGCATGTGTGTGTATGTGTGTGCATATGTGTGTGCATGTGTGTGCATGTGTGTGTATATGTGTGTGTATGTGTGTGCATGTGTGTGTATATGTGTGTGTATGTGTGTGCGTGTGTGTATGTGTGTGTATGTGTGTGTGCGTGTGTGTGTGTGTGCGCGTGTGTGTGTGTGTGTGCGCGCGCGTGTGTGTGCGTGTGTGTGTGTGTGCGCGTGTGTGTGTGTGCGTGTGTGTGTGTGTGTGCGTGTGTGTATGTGTGTGTATGTGTGTGTATGTGTGTGCGTGTGTGTATGTGTGTGTATGTGTGTGTATGTGTGTGCGTGTGTGTATGTGTGTGTATGTGTGCGCGTGTGTGTGTGTGTGCAGGCACTTCTGGGGAGGAGTCCCTAGTTTTTTTAGACTCTGAGTGTGACCACATGGTTCCCACTTGAGGACAAACGGATAGAGAGCAGGATCGCCTTCTTTTAGAAGACAAATGGGAAGAACTCATTTATGAGGCAGGGCTGCCCTGAAGCTGTGACCTCTGTTTTCCCTGCCTGGTGCCTGCAGCCCTCGGTCCCAGACAAGTTCTACCCTCTTCCGAGAATACTCCACACCCATGTGAGTCCTGCTTCGCCTCCCAGCTCTGCTGCTTGCCAGCTGTGTGACCCTGGGCAAGGCACTCACTCTCTCTGTTCCCTCATATGTAAAACGGAGATAATAGTAGAGTCTGCCATGCCAGGTGGTTGTGAGGATTAAGCAAGTTATTCCAATGGACGCGTCCAGCATGGCACCTGCCACAGTGTGAGAGCACAAAATTGGGTGGTTTTTACCCACCCACCTCTGTCCCTGTGCCCAGCAAAATCAGCCTCGTACTCATTGTGGGAAAAGGGGCTGCAGATTTGTGCCTCCCTCACCCAAGCACCTCCAGCAGGATGGTCCCGCTCTCTGGGGAAGCTGTTCTGGAGGAGAGTGCATGCCAGCGGGGGCATCATCTCCCCAGGTCACAGCCCCACAGGGCAGGTGTCCAGCTGCTGATGGACTTTAGGAAAGATGGACACTCCCAGCTGCTTCTGCATCTGGTCCCGTAAGTGATGGTCACGCCTAAGGCCAGCCCGGCCTCTGCCTCTGGTTTCCATGTTACCTTAACATTGTCATAGCCAAGAAATCCCAACATTTGTCTGGTGCCATAGGCGATGCTGATGGGCCGGCCTGAGACCCGGAACGTGGAGGATAGCAGAGAGTTGAAGATATTGTGGTTAGCTGCAGACACAGGGGTAGGCATCTGTCAGTCCTGCTGGGGACCGAGGAGAAGGTGCTGGGAGGATATGAGATGGGGGAGGGAGCACTCACTGCAGGCTTGGCTGGCACAGTAGATGGAGGGCACCCACAAGTCAGTGAAGCCTGTGTCCAGAATGACCTTGAATTCCTGAGGCGGTGTTCCAATGGTGATGATGCTAATGTAGGCCAGCTGCCAGGACCAGGGAGGGATGGTGAGGGAAGGCCTGGCATCCTGGCCATGCCCCTGGTTCCCAGGGTGCCTGCCCTCATCAGGCATTCTGTGTTTCCTGAAATCACTTTCCAACAGCCCCACCACACAGCCTCTGCTCAAGCCACCACCTTCATTTGAGAAGCTCTCCAGTGTTCCCCACAGCTCTCCAAATCCTTTCCACCCTTGAAGACCTGGTCTGAGTGCCTCCTCCTCCAGGCAGCCCTCCTAGGTTGCCCAGGCCACTGTGCTCTTTCCTTCCTTTAAACTCAAATCACATAATATTAACACCACACAGTTGGTCCTCTTATCTGACATTTACTTACTTTTGCCTATTTCTCTGCGTGGGCTATGAGTTCTTGAAGAAGAGATGAGACCTTTGGTTATATAAGTAACAATAACCATATTGTTAGTTTATCATAGCATCCCGCACCACAGGGACTCAATAACTTAAAATTTTTTTTAGAGTCAGAGTCTCTCTCTTTTGCTCAGGCTGGAGTGCAGTGGCATGATCATAGCTCACCACAGCCTCGACCTCCTGGGCTCAAGCAATTCTCCCACCTCGCCCTCCCAAGTAGCTGGAACTATAGGTGCACACCACCACACCCAGCTAACATTTAAAACTTCTTGTAGCGACATGGTCTCGCTATGCTGCCCAGGCTGGTCTCAAATTCCTAGCCTCAAGGGATCCTCTTGCCTTGGCCTCCCAGAGCGTTGGGATTACAGACATTAGCCACTGCATCTGGCCTCAATAACTTTTTTATTGGTTTGATTCTTGGGACTGAAAAGGCTAAACTTTTCTGTTGTTGTTGAGATGAAGTCTCACTCTGTTGCCCAGGCTGGAGTGCAGTGATGCGATCTTGGTTCACTGCAACTTCCATCTCCCGGGTTCAAGTGATTCTTGTGTCTCAGCCTCCTGAGTAGCTGGGATGACAGGCACGCACCACCATGCCCGGCTAATTTTTGTATTTTTAGTAGAGACGGGGTTTTGCCATGTTGGCCAAGCTGGTCTTGAACTTCTGACCTCATGTGATCCACCTGCCTCGGCCTCCCAAAATGCTGGGGTTACAGGCGTGAGCCACTGTGCCTGGCCTAAACTTCTACATAGTGTGTCAAACTTGATTTGCAGTTTTCTTTGTTGTCATTTGATCAGACATGGATTGCCCTTCAATGTGGCTCCTTTAGCTCAGTGATTAGCCTTAGTTGAGAAAGGGCAAAGCTCCCATAACAAGCACTGTCTTGGTTCAAGGGTGCCCAGTGACACTATCACTGGCACAGAAATGGATGCTATCTAGTACCTGGTCATTGCTGGGCCCAGTCACTATGGACCAACAACAGAGGGCAGGAATGCTTTCTCCTCTGGAAAGGGGTCGTGTTCCCTGGTCGTGTTCCCCACTCTCTGCTGAAGCCCCAGCCCTAACCTGCTGGCTCACAGCCCCAGATGAGCCCCAGTGCTTGCTAGGGGCCCTAGGGGGCGCTCTGGAGCTCCATCCTGCCAGCATACTCACATCCAGGTAGTTCCTCATGGGTTCCAAAGATATTCCATTGTCCTGATACTGATCAAGAAACTTATAGGCCAGGCTGTAAGGATATTTCTCAAGATAATCTTTCAGCATGTCATTTTCCCGGAGGTTTTCTCGAATGGATTTGATCTTCATCAGAGGGATTCTTCAACCGAGCATTGGGAAGGGAAACAAGTAAGAGACAGTCATCAGCTGCTCCTTGCTATAATGTGACTGTCACACTTTGCACTGTAATTACACCGTGCATTTTCCAAGCTTTTTAATGATTGTTATCTTATTATCAGGAAAAGACACCCAATGCAAAGGAAAGACCGCGGCAGTGGATCTAGGTTTAATTCCAGGTTCTATTGTGTCATCTTGGGCAGGTCATATGATCTTTCTGAGCCTCCGTTTCCCTATCTATCTATAAAAAAGATGGAATGATGATACCCTCCCTAGCATAGAATGTTTGGAGGTGTTAAGTGAGACAGTGGATATAATGCGCCTGCCATATAGCAGGTCCTGACAGTGACAGCCCTTCCTATTGCTAATGCCATCTCAATGTCTCTTTCTCGGGCAGCCCTGGGAGGGCGGTAGAGGGGGAATCATTATCTTCTTTTTATAGGGAAGGAATCTGAAATGCAGGGACTTTGTGACTTGGCTCTGGTTACACTGCTTGTTAGTGGCAAACCTGGGCCTAGAAGTAGCCCTCCTAATCTCTCCAGGGTTCAACCAGAAGAAAGGGGTGAGAGAGGAAGCCAGGAAGTGAGAAAAGTCATGAATGCTGAGATGGGGAATAAAGTGGGGAAATGAAGAGAGTAGAGAAACAAGAATGAGTCAAAACAGAAGCACAGAGTTTTGCATATACAGAGACACCCAAAGAGACAGAGAGCTAAAAGAGAGAGATGCAGAGACAGAGGTGTAGCCACAGAGACACATATATAAGGAAACAGAGAGGGAGTAGAGAGAAAACCTAGAAAATTGCACAGAAGAAATTCTGTTTCTAGGTGGGACCACATGTACAGCTGCACAGGTTGGGCACTGAAAAATTCTAGGGAGTCCCATTCACATAGCCCATGATGTGACTGGTGCCCCTGGAATTGTGCAACTCTGCAGACCTGCCCCAAGACCTTTCGGCCTCACAGCACACATGGCTATTCATCAATAAATGGAGATTTGAATTTTATATGAGCATCAGAGAATGATTACATTTCCTTCCCCATCCCTGCACTGGAAGGAGAATAAGAGGCAAGAGAAGAAGAGGGCAAGAAGGAGCCCAGAGAGACAGCTGATGTCACGTGTCTCATACTTACTTGACCAAGCATTCTGAGAGAGCCACCAACCCGAGGATCATAAGCCACTTCATACTTCCTTCGTGGGTTTAAAGCACTCAGGAAAGAGTGAATTCTGAGCATGCAGTGGCTGTCAAGAGGAGCTCATTTAAATGCACTCTGATCTGCCCTAGTCATCCCCTTGGGGGCCAGTATCGACTTGATAAGAAATACAAACCTTCCTGATAAAGTCTTCACCTGCTTCATGTTTGTGAGGAGGGGACCTAGAAAATTCTCAGAATACAGAGATTTCTATTCTAATCTCTTCCTTGGGGCATGGCTGAAAAAACAAAAATAAACCATACAGGGGAACAAAGAGTGGGGAGACTCTTGCTATCTTGGAGATAAAGGCACTGAGCATAATGTGATAAAAATAAGTGTTAGATGCTATGCTTGACATTTGTGATCTCATGCAGTCTTCCCAGTGACCCTGTGAGGTGTGCATTGCTGTCCTCATCCGGGAGGGGATTGCTAGGAGGAAGAGAGGTCAAATTACAGAGTGAAAGTGTTGGGAGCGGCCCACTGACTTATGAGTGGATTTAGGTAGTGAGATGGCACACAGCAGGGCCACTTATGCTGCCAATCTGCTTCAAAGAGCCAGGCTAGAGCAGTATGACCATCGCACAATTTTAATATTGGAAGAAATGTGACGCATGCAACCCAAAAATATTGTTTGTATCCAGTAAACATTTATTGAGGACCTCCTGTGTCCTGGAGAGCGGGATAGATGCTGGGAAATCAAAGTCAAATGAGACATGAGCAGGCCTTGCCTTCAGGGAGTTTGCAGTCTGGAGTTTGCAGGCAGGAATCACAAGCTGGAGACCCAGTCAGCAAAGGAAACAAAGGGAAGGGCTGGGTGGGCATCTCGGGCACGGGCGCTACTGTCTCCCCACAAGGGGGCAGCCTCTTCTCCGTTCCACCAGCAGTTGCCACACTGGCAGGCGGACTGTGATGCCTGGTTGGCCAAGTTTTTAAGATGTGCAAGTGGGAAAAACTCAAATTGCGTTTCTCTTACTACACTCTTTTTTTTTTTTTCCTTCCTTTCTTTTGAGACGGAGTCTTGCTGTCGCCCAGGCTGGAGTGCAGTGGTATGATCTTGGCTCACTGCAACCTCAGCCTCCAGGGTTCAAGTGCTTCTCCTACCTCAGCCTTCCTAGTAGCTGGGACTACAGGCATGCACCACCATGCCCGGCTAATTTTTGTATTTTTAGTAGAGCTGGAGTTTCACCGTGTTGGCCAGGCAGGTCTCGAACTCCTGACCTCAGGTGATCTGCCTGCCTTGACCTCCCAAAGTGCTGGGATTACAGGTGTGAGCTGCCACGCCTGGCCTCTCTTACTACACTCTTGCGACGTGTTTCTTACACCAGATGCGTGGGGCTTTTCTCCCCACCAACAAGCTCACAGTCAACTCTGCAGCAGACACCAGCCGGCTGTCCTCCAATTCAATTCTGACACCATCCACCTGGGGCTAGCATCAGATCCCACAGGTTGAGGGCTCAGTCTCATGAGACTGGGCCCCACTTCCAATGCCAATTGCAAGCCCCAGGTTGTTTGACCTGTGCTTCTGACCAACTGGCCGTAAGTCGGGGGTTCCCAAGACCCCCTCTTTGGGTTCAATTAATTTGCTAGAGCAGCTCTTGGGACTCAGGGAAACATTTACTCACATTTACCTGTTTACTATAAAGGGTATTACAAAGGGTACAGATGAAGAGCTGCATGGTGGGAGGTATAGGAGAGGGGGTGTGACGCTTCCATGCCTTCCCCGGGCGCCCCACCCTTCAGGAACCTCACATGCTCTGCTCTATGGAAGCTCTCCGAACTCCGTCCTCTTGGGCCTTTCATGGAGACTTCATTGGATAGGCATGATGGAAGCACAGACAGCCGTGTAGAAGTGTGATTGAATAGCTGGGCGCGGTGGCTCACGCCTGTAATCCCAGCACTTTGGGAGGCTGAGGCTGAGTGCTGTAATCCCAGCACTTTGGATCACCTGAGGTCAGGAGTTCAACACCAGCCTGGTCAACAGGTGAAACCCCGTCTCTACTAATAATACAAAAATTAGTCGGGTGTGGTAGTGCACACCTGTACTCCCAGCTACTCGGGAGGCTGAGGCAGGAGAATCACATGAATCCGGGAGGTGGAGATTGCCTTTGATAATCCATGGTGACAAATTTGGGCAGTAGGGGTAAAACTGACACAGAACCCCAGCCAGGCACTGTGGCTTATCCCTGCAATCCCAGCACTTTGGGAGGCCAAGGTGGGAGGATAACTTGAGCCCAGTTCAAGACCAGCCTGAACAACATGGCAAAAGCCTGTCTCTACAAAAAAAAAAAATGCAAAAATTAGCTGGGCGTGGTGAGCCAAGATCGCACCATGGCACTCCAGCCTGGGCAAGACTCTGTCTCAAAAAAAAAAAAAAAGAAGTGTGATTGAACAAAAAGGGAATGATCTAGTGTTGATAGACTGAGTGGGAAACCCAGCAATGCCTGTCTGCTGAGATGCTTGGTCTCTCCGTGCAGCATTCCTTCCTGCAGCGTGTGGGGCAGGACCCCTCTGAAGTGGAGTTTTACGACCTGCAGTCATGCAAGGCCAGTCAGAGAATTTCTTTATGGACAGAGGCAAGGGAAGATTAGAATATATTTTTAGGTGCTAAGGCCTGCCTTGGAGAGAAAAAGGAGCAGGTGAAAAGAAGGCCAGAGGAGGTCTGGGAGAAAGATTCTGTTTTCCGAGTCCTGGTTAGAGGCCTAACATACTCCAACCTTATAACAAAACACTGTAACAAGGGCTATGGGGGTTATGAGCCAGGAACTGTGGATGAAAACTGATATGTGTGTGTGTGTGTGTGTGTGTGTGTATATATATATATATAAAATAAGAAGTCAAAACTCTGGATATTTATGTGAAACCCCTGCTCTTTAGATGTTAGCAGCTAATTAATTTGTTTTTCAAGAAACACAGTGTGGGCCAAACCTTAAGCAACTGTGGGATGTGCAGGTTTTTATTTCTGGCCTAGAGGTGGGAGTAGAAGGGGGCCTAGAAAGGGAGGGTGTAGAGGGCTAGAAAGGGAGAGTGTTCAATTCATGTTTGCTGAATTAATAACAGATGGAATGCATTGATTTTCCTTCCACTTGTAAGGAAAGACTACCAGCGTCCGCTAAACCAGCTGACTTACTGAGAGCTCCCACCTGATGGGCAACTGCTGTAATTCCCCTGATAGGATCCAGGCTGGAAACATTTTGTCTGCCAATTAAAAAGAAATAATTAAAGTGTCTCACCAATCAAAAAAGATAATAAATGACCACCAGGAGCTTCTGCTTGCCTGAGATGAGAAGAGCCACCTTCTTAAACTGGTATTATTCCAGGCAAAGTAAAGAAAATGGAATGGTATGGCTCCTTCTGGGACTTCCAGGGTCCTCATGTTCCCATACAAGATCCGGATCCGGTCCATGCCCATCTTGGGTAGAGCAATGCCAAGGCTGATCTGATCCCCAGGGTTGGGTTGCAAATGACGTGGGGCCAAGATTGCTCCACTGTCGCAGGGATAAGCCTGTGACACAGGGATACGCCTTTTCTATATGAACTATATTTTGGGTAATCACAAATAGTTGACTAAAAATTTTTTTTTTTTTAAAAACATTAGTTTAAGGAATAAGGAAAAAAAGTTGTTTTATTAAAATTCCTGGCTGCGTGTGGTGGCTCACACCTGTAATCCCAGCACTTTGGAAGGCTGAAGTGGGAGAATCACTATGAAGTATTGTAATTAAAATTTTGAATTCAAGTTGAGCTCTCATGACCAATTTTCAGGAAATAATGTAGGTAAAGGAGCATGTATCATTCAAATCCTATACATGGGACATCCTGTAGGACAAATGACCTCTCTATGCTCCCCCTACTTAAAAAAATAGACTTTACTTTTTAGAGCAGTTTTAGCTTCACTGCAAAACTGAGCAGAAGGTGCAGAGATTTCCCACATATCCGTGCCACCCCACCTCACATGCACAGTCTCTCCATTATTAATATCCTGCCCCAGAATGGTACATTTGTTACAATTGATTAACCCACGATGATGCTTCATTATCACCCCATGTCCATGGTTTGCATTAAGATTCACTCTTGGCATTGTACATTCTGTAGGTTTGGACAAATGTGTGGTAGGTACCCACCATTATGATATTATACAGAAGGCTGGGCGTGGTGGCTCATGCCTGTAATCCCAGCAGTTTGGGAGGCTGAGGCAGGTGGATAATCTGAGGTCAGGCGTTCGAGACCAGCCTGACCAATATGGTGAAACCCCATCTCTTCTAAAAATACAAAAATTAGCCATGCGTGGTGGTGTATGCCTGTAATCTCAGCTACTCGGGAGGCTGAGGCAGGAGGCTCGCTTGAACCCAGGAGGCGGAGGTTGCAGTGAGCCGCACTCGCACCATTGTGCTCCAGGTACTGGAAAAACTGGGTATGCTATGCAGAACAATGATGAAACTAGATCATGCAAAAAATTCAAATCAAAATGGATTAAATACTTAAATGTAAGACCTGAAACTATGAAACTAGTAGAAGAAAACATTGGGGAAATGCTTCAGGACATTGGTCTGGGCAAAGATTTCTTGGACAAGACCTTAAAAACACAGGCAAACAAAGCAAAAATTAACAAATGGGATGTAAATCAAGCCAAAAGGTTCTGCACAGCAAAGAAAACAATCAGCAAGGTGAAGAGACAACCCACAGAATGGGAGAACATATTTGCAAACTATTCATCCAACAAGGGATTAACAACCAGGAATATATAAAGAACTCAAACAACTCAACAGCAAAGAAACAAATAATCTGATTAAAAATAGGCAAAAGATCTGAATAAACATTTCTTGAAAGAAGCATACAAATGGCCAACAGGCGTAGGAAAAAAGACTCAACATTCCTAATCATCAGGGAAATGCCAGTTAAAACCACAGTGAGTTATCATCTCACCCCAGTTAAATAGCAGTGATCAAAAAGACAGAAGATAACAAGCACTGGTGAGGAGACCAAGAGAGGGGAATGC